CCTGGGGAGGAATGGGATCAAGTCTGCACTGTATGTTTGTTTACTCTAGCCTTACAGAAAGACTACAATATAATTGAATTCAAGTCGGAGTAAGGGCTTTGGGTTACAGTTCTGTTACATTTGTGTGAAGCTTAAAAGACAGTAGATTTATATCAAGATTACATTGGGTAAAATAATACAGATTATGTTCAAAGTTAGAAAGAAAGTTCATCTCAGCGTAGATAGCTCTTGGTCCTAGTGAGGTCATGTTCAATTTATTTTGGCTTTAGTGAAGATGGTGTTACTGTGAAGTAAGATATATTTTTCATTACAAATAAATAATTCAGATAAAATATATAATATTGAATTTAAATAAGATTTGGGAGCTTTAAAAAGTTACATTTATAAAAATTATTTATTATATTAAGCATTATGTTTTATTTTATCATCCAAATATTTTTGGTTTCAGTGGTCCAGCTTTATTTAAAGGCAAATAAAATTGTAAAATGTTTCTACAGCTTCTTCCTTTTATATTGAGTTTGAATGGCTTTTATTTGTATGTCTTTGCTATGTATGGATAAAGAGCATTACTTATACTTTTGTGCAGTGGATCCAAAACATGCATTTATAAGGCATATGTTTAAATTGTAAATGTAGCATCTACTTGCCGCTAAACTTAAAAGGAATGTAGATGGCATTTTTTTCACTTGTTCAAATGGGTTTTTAGGGCTATTGTTTGGGGAGGTTTTTTTCGTTGTTGGTTTTCTTTTTTTCTTTTCTTTCTTTTTTTTTTTTTTAAAAGAATGAAGTTTGGGATTTTAAATTTGTATAAGTGCAAGAACTACCTGTCAGCAATATTTTAAAATAAACGATCTGGCAAGAAACCTTAATGTGAATTGTGGAAGCAATCGGCAAGACTTGCAGCCTATCTGAAATTGTTTTGTGCCATTGTTATGTCTGGTATCTGTATGTACCATCTGACCTGGGAATATTTATTTTTCACTGGTTGTGCAATAGTATACACAACACTATCACCTCTGGGGATATGAGACCATAAAAAATATCAGACTACAGCTATGATGGTGCTATTTTTTCAATAGGCTATGAGCCTTTGAAAACTTACCTTGCTCTATTGTCTTTTATGAGAACATAATTAGTCCTAGAAGATTCATTGAGTTTTTTTCTACTGGATGGTAAATGTAACCATACAACTAGCTTGTTTTACAACATTTTAATCTTACTATTGAGCTAAATATAATAGGAAAAAGCCAACCAGTCTGTACATCAGCAAACAAGTCTTAGCAAGCTTATATAGTACTTAAGAAATGCATTTCATACAGGAGGCTGGACTGTACAGAAAAATCTAGTTTCTGTATTTCCTCAGGTAACCACTTCAGTTTGAACATTTCACTGGAGATGTTAATGCAACCTACACTTCAGTTCCTCCACCTGAAGCTAATAACAAGAGAAAAAATTGTCCTACACACTAAAATCTCTGCATAAGTTATAGTTAAGTAACTTAGAGGTCTTGACTTTTGTCTCTTAAGTAAAAAATTGCAGGGGGAATGTAAGGAGTATGGAACGTTACTTAAATCTCTCTTTCATCAAAGCTTGTAGTCAGCTACAAAAAAACCAGTTTCTAGGAACTCGACGTTTGTGGCAAGCCAACAGTCATGTTTTACCATGGGGTTCTGATATGTTTGTATACCAATTGAAGCTCCAGTCCTGCTATTTGATGCATGTGAGTGGATCCTTAGGGCTTCTTGGAAGTCTTTCGAAGCCATAATGACTTGCCCAGATCAGATTGCAGGGTAGGGAATGAATATCCAATTCTGTGAACACTAACGTGGATAACTTTGCTTATAATGCGGATGGTTCCACTGAAACCAGTGGGATAGTTCATGTGAACGTTAGGAGTGTTTGCAGGATGGAATCCCGTTTTGTTTTTGTTTTGTTTTTTGTTAAGGCTGGGCAGATGTCCCCGTATTTTTTTTTTTCTTTGAAACTCAAAAGTATTGGTTTAATAGAATCTCTAATTAAAAAGTGACTTAACTGGACAAAAGGAGTTTGTTCTTTCTTTCTGCAACAAGAATAATTTAAGGTTAAGGGACAATAAGCCAGTGTAACCACTAAGCCTTTATCCTCATATGTGGCATAATACAGATACTGAAACTGTCACTGTGTAAAACCATATTTTTGGCTTAGCTTCATTTGAAAGTTTACATTTTTTATGCTTTGTGTTGCTGTGTAATTTTTGTACTATTGGTGGCTAGTTTTTGTCTGAATAAGCCTTTTGGGATTATTGCTTAATGTTTTGATTTTATAATAGTGAAGCTTGTATCCAGTGTTTTGCCAATTAATATTATATGCTTGTTAATAAAAGCAGAGAAACTAACTGAAATCCTGTCAGGCTGGAAGTTATTGTCCTATTTTTTCCCAAGACTCCAATGAACTAGTCAGTTAACCATAGCACTGAACCCACACAGTATGTCCGAAACAGTGGTGGCATACAAGGCTATAATGAATCTTTATGCCTATTGCCTATCTTACTGAAAGTAAGTGGCTTCAGCTGCAGGGAGAAAAACAGTTGCTCTGGCAATTTATGTATCTGTGGATAGACGTGCGCTTACCCACCTGTATGTGTTGCTTTCAGTCTTGCCCTTACCCCATGATGCTGATGTGCAGAGGCAGACTGCAGCATTCTGGAAGACTTGATGTTTGCTTGGACACATGTCAAATTGAAAAGCATACCCCTACAAATCCTGATTTTATGTTTCTTAAGGACTGAGAGATATTGGAATGATATGATGTATGAATTTGAATACCTAATCTAGATACTAGAGTGAACTGCAAAGCAGGTACTGCAGTAGGTGAATTCCTTGCAGTGTCTGCATACAGTAATGAAAATTTGCAGACTTATGTACTCTTCATACTGAGAGGTGCAGAAGGGCTGCTCTTCTGCTGTTGGCTTGTGAGGAATTACCAACAGTTCTGTTGGGCTGTGTTCAGGTTCGGTTTGTTCCTACTTGCGCTAGTGGTAGCCATGTATAATTGTCCTGAGCAGATTAGGCATTTTGCCACTGATTTACTTCATTTAAATGCCAGCATGAGAAACTTACCTCAGAAGGGTCACTTTGTCTCTATGGAGTCACTTAAAAGTGAATAAACGTTGCCACTAATTCTGCCTGAGCAAACATGACATCTTCTAAATCTTCCGTACTCTCATTATTAGTGGTTCTGACACTTCCCTTGTACTTTGTACTGCTGGTTGTTTCCATCTGTGAGTAAACTGATCAATGACCTGCCTGATTCAGTCTAATTCCTCCCTTTTTGTATTTTCAGCAGTGATTCCAGGAACAGTTCCACTTCTAGAGAATAAAAAGTGCTAGAGTAGAATTACTCTACTTTATTGTAATGTGATTAAAGATTTGTTTCCAACCTCTATAAATGCTGGAGTAGTTGTAAGAAGAGAACCTCTGCTATCACTTAGACAAGCAGAAGTGCAGAAGTTCGTAAGGACGTAATACTGCACACAAGTTGCGATCTCATTAATTGGCCTATATGTCAGGAGGAAATTGCTCAGGTTTTCAGGAGGAATGACTTATGCGTAGACCTCACTTGAGGAATTATTAAAGGCACTGCCATCAGCATCTGTTGTGAATGTGACATTAGAAAAACTTGTTGGAAAATTTATCATAGGTCAATGTTTTGTATTGTCCCATGTATAATATCCTTGTAGTGATTTGAATGGTCCTCTGGCTTTGATTTTGATTTAGACAGGAAAAAAAAAATTCTTTAACATTTTATCTTTTATTTCCATTACTGTATGGTAGTTTGAAATGAGTCATTTAGATCTAGACTGGATTGTACATTGTAGAAAACCTAAGCAACAGAAATACAAGATGGGACAGAACCAATTCCCCTCATTACTCTTTTTTAATGGACCAGCGACTGTGTTCAGGTAGAAACAATTCTAGTTTGAGTGCAAAATTCCTATGCCTCATGCGAGAAACTGCTAAAATGACTGTTTGCACAGTTTGTGAAAGCATAAAACTGCCCTGCAGCTAATGAGCAGGAAAACATATATTTTTTCCCCCACAGAAGTAATCCAACATGCGGAAGCTCTAACTGATAGTTCTTCATATCCTTATTGCCTCAATTGAATATTGTAGTGATTCTGCAATAAAAATCAGTAATTATAAGTGAAAGGTCTCCTTGTATGTAATAACTTTCTCAGGGTTTCCTTAAGATTGGAACAGTTAAGAAAAAAAAAAAAACCGTATTAACCAGATAATATTTTAGATGGATTAATTCAGCTGTTAAACCCTCGTGTAGACATAACTGGTCTGATTAAACTGATCTCAATTCAGGTAAATTCAATTCAGTTCCACTTCTGAATGAGTATCTGAACAGGATTATCTGTAAGGCAAACAGACATCTTAAAAGTTCACTCATAAAAACTTAAAAGTTCACTCAGAAGTTCGTTCTCCAAGCCTCTTTTTCAAGCTTCCTTTTGATTTGCTTTTATC